CAGAAAATTCTCCGAGCATTGGACAGTCCAATGAAAGAGAACCTCTTCACAATCAGAATGATCCGCCTGAACAATCGCAAAATATTCAACTTCGTAGGTCTACTAGGATTCGTCATGAACCAACTAGGTTTGGCTTCCTCATGGAGGATCATGATGATGTTGAAATTCCTGACAAGGATGAACCTAAGACTTACACTGAAGCAATATTAGATATTGATTCAGAGAGGTGGCGAGAGGCCATGAAATCTGAAATGGACTCGATGCAAATGGGTTTTCAAGAAGAAAATTGATGCCGAAGGCAAGGTACAAACATACAAAGCTAGGCTAGTGGCTAAAGGTTATAGTCAAAGAGAGGGAATTGACTATAGTGACACCTATTCGCCAGTTGCAAAACTGAAGTCCATTCGAATTTTGCTTGCGATAGCAGCATACTATGATTATGAGATTTGGCAAATGGATGTCAAAACTGCTTTCCTTAATGGAAACATCAAGGAGGAGGTGTACATGGTACAATCTGAAGGTTTTATATCCAACTCAAATTCCAAATCAGTATGTAAATTGGAGAAATCCATATATGGGCTAAAGCAAGCCTCAAGGAGTTGGAATATCCGTTTTGATGAAGCGGTCAAATCATTTGGCTTCATCAGAAGCAATGAGGATGCGTGTGTGTATACAAAACGCAGCAAGGATAGCGTGGTCTTTATGGTCATATATGTTGATGACATTCTGATCATAGGGAATGATATCCCCTTATTGAAGTCTGTGAAAGAATGGTTATCCAATATCTTCATGATGAAAGATCTAGGTGAAACCTGTTATATCCTTGGGATTAAGATCTATAGAGACAAAGTTAACAGGATGTTAGGTCTTTCACAATCCACGTATATTGACAAAATACTACATCGATTTAAAATGGAAGAATCTAAGAAAGGATTCCTCCCGATGGGTCATGGGATATCGTTATCAAAGAAAGATAGTCCTTCAACTGATGATGAGATCAAACGCATGAGAGGGATTCCATATGCTCCTGCAATCGGTTCAATCATGTATGCTATAATCTGTACTAGGCCAGATGTGGCTTATGCGCTTAATATTGTTGGTCGATATCAAAATAATCCAGGAGAACGGCATTGGAGTGCTATTAAGACTATTCTTAAGTATCTTAGACGAACTAAAGAATATTTCTTGGTTTATGGTGGACAAGAGAAACTAATAGCATCTAGTTACTCTGACGTTAGCTTCATGATAGATAAGGATGACTATAAGTCACAATCAGGATATGTTTTTAATCTCAATGGAGCAGCAGTAGACTGGAAGAGTTCCAAGCAAGACATTACAGCTGATTCGACAACAGAAGCCGAGTACATTGATGTTGCTGATAGTCATCCAATAACCATTTATTGTGACAATACTGGTGCTGTTGCACAAGCAAAGGAACCAAGATGCGACAAGAGGAATGGACATGTGTCGAGGCGCTATCATGTGATTCGAGAGCAGATAGCAAGAGGAGAGGTTGCAATAGAACGTGTTTCCACTGAGGACAATTTGGCTGATCCCTTCACCAAACCTTTGAGCTGCGAGAAACATACTAGACATTTTGAGAATCTAGGTGTTAGACGCATTGGTGATTGGCACTAGGCCAAGTGGGAGATTGTTAGTATATATGTCCTAGCGACAATCATTTTTTTTAAAGACATATGTACTTGATCACATTTAGTTTTTATATTTGATATATACACGGTATTACACTTTATGAATGATTGTTTTCGATTGTCAATGTTTTATTCATAATTGTGTTCCCTTGGATTTATGTTGTCAATAAGTAAGTGTGAGCTTATATGATATAACATAAGGTCCTAAAATAGCCTCAATCAATGATCATCAAGAATGTGATATTGATGATATGCGATAAGATTGGTATGTGGACTGCATCATACTTTTAGAAAGTATAGTTGATCTCACAACTATGAGTTCCTGTAATTCATGATGGTCACATAGATATTTTAGAGAATATTGGCATATCCACCGAGAAACCATTTGATAAGTTCTATTCATGTGTCTATGGGATTATCGGCGTACAGAGTAGTGTAATAGTCCTCTGACTTGAGGTCAATACGTACTACATGTGCGGAGTGATGTACTTTGACCATGACCAACGCTTGCACTCCAATCGGGGTAGATACGACATGTGTTGGGTGCATCACGAAGCACATGGAGTAGTAGTTGAGCCAAGAAAGGATTCATTCCTCATAATAGATTAAGAGAGAACATTCTACTTCTCATATCTAGATGGATCATAAAGTCATTGGCCAATGCAAAGATATATTCGTTTTGGATATCGAATATGATCGTTATGGATCATCTAGAAAGATTGAGAGACAGAGACTGAGTTATTGGGATAGACACTATATCATGTTCTAGACTTAGTTGAATGTTCGCTGAATGAAAGGACCGTATCACTATGAGCTCTATATTACAGGGAGTTTGAATAGTCATCGCAAACGTCCTTATATATTAAGATTGTCTGGTAAATCGTCTAGGGATTCTACTAAGACCTTAATGTGTTTAGTGCTTAATATATAAGGTCCTATGGGTCACACAATAAGCGATTATACCTTCCGATTGAATTGTTAGAAGGAATTAATTATTATTAATTGGATTAAATAATATTTAATTCATAATACTGAAAATGGATTAAATATTAATTTGATTAAATATATTGAATTCATGATGTTGAAGGAGTGTTCTATTTGATAGAATTAATTAAGTGTGATAAATTAGATTTATTATACTTAATTAAGATGTATTTATTATTTAATAAAGTTGATATTTTCTTTTGTAATTTAGAATTAAAATGAAAAGTAAATAAACTAAATAATAATATATATAATAAATAGAGAGTGGCGTAAGACCACTTCTCTATTGTGGTTATTATTATTATTTTGGTTTGTTTTATCTACTTATTTAATTAATTTCAAGTATTGGTCCTAGCGGGATTAGGACTCATTAATTAAAAAGACTTTCATTGTGATTGAGAAACTAGTTTAGAACTAGTATAAATACATCCACCTCCTTCATAATTAGAGACAAGTTTTCAGATTCAGTATTACCAGTTTATTTCCCTGCGAAGAGATTTCCTAGCTTTTCTCTTAGGGAAATCTAACCGTTCTTTCGGGAAGGAGAAATCACGTGGATACCAAAGGTCAAGGATTATCACCGCTAGGCTGGAAGATCTGTAAGTTCTAACTCAGATCTGTTATTATTATCATATTCGTTATTTTGTCATAATCAGGGAAGATCTGTTTGGGAAAATTTTAAATTTCCGCTGTCGTACTTTCGAGGTACGTTACATCAATTTCCTAACAACTTTTACATTATGTCAATTTATACATTAACGAAATGCAGGTCCGATCCTGACATTTTATGGACCCGGGACAATATAGATATAGTAGGCCTTTAAAAACATGTGAATGTTTATTTTTCTTATAAAAAATTATAATTAAAGTTAAGGAATTTCGTCATCTATATACGAATGTAACACAACAAAGAAATTAATAAATGAGATTGTTAGAAAGATTATATTTAAGTATTTGATAAGTTACGTACATTCAAGAATACTATCTATATACCTAAACTGATCAAACGAAAAAGTAGTATCATCGTTACTTGCAATAAAAAAATGAAGTAGGCAAAGACATGTCTTATGTGAAAAATAAACGACGAAGAAAAGAGAGGTTTAGACTATTTTTGAAATAAATGTGCCGGCGGCGATGAGAATCTCGTTGTGTCTATGACTAATGGCCAGAGAGAGGTCAGTGCGGCTAAGGTTCTTCGGCCGGACGATGTCGTTCGTCCCGATGGCGTCATTCACGGGATAGAGCGCGTGTTGATCCCCAAATCGGTGCAGCAACATTTCAACAACAGGAGGAGCTTGAGTTCCATCTCCGCCGTTCTCCCCACCGGAGCACCGGAGATAGACACCAGAAACCGCCGAATCCTGAAGAAACCGACTAGCTCTTCCCCTGCCGGTGCCCCATCTGGTTTATCTGTCTATGACGCCTTGGCCCCGGGCCCATCACTAGCTCCGGCGCCGGCTCCGGGACCCGGCGCACCCCACCGTCACTTCGACGGAGAAAGCCAAGTCAAGGACTTCATCCAAACCCTACTGCATTACGGCGGGTACAACGAGTTCGCCGATATCCTTGTAAACCTGACATCATTGGCTACTGAAATGGGAAAACTAGTGTCTGAAGGTTACGTGTTGACGGTTTTAGCCCCCAACGATGAAGCCATGGCAAAGCTTAGCGTCGATCAGCTTACCGATCCCGGTGCACCGGAGAGAATAATGTATTATCATCTAATCCCGGAGTACCAAACGGAGGAGAGTATGTATAATGCGGTCAGAAAGTTCGGAAAAATCCCAAATGGAGAGTATGTATAATCTTTAGGAGAGTATGTTGCACACTGGCATTCACAGTGGGCTGCAGCAAGGGCCCTAACACCAGCACCGGGTTGATCACCACTATGTCCACTCCTTTTCTCCGCGCCTCCTCCCACGCCGTCTTCTCCGCTACCGTCTTCCCGTAGCAGTACCAATTCTTGGTGTTCTTGCAAAACTCCAGATCACTCCAACAGCTCTCATCCACAATCGTGTCCGGATCTCTATTCGGGTCCATGTACACCGCACCGATTGAGGATGTGAACACCACCCGCCCCACTCCACCTTCCGCCGCTGCTGTTATCACGTTCCTCGTCCCTATCACCGCTGGCTCCACCATTTCCTCCTTCATTCATGCACATTTCATTTCAATATATTATGGATTTTAACTTCTAAATAAGAGAATATTTATATATGGTATCCCACATGGACCGTACCACCTATTTATATATCATCGTCGATTTATATGCACATTTGATTTTTGTTTCGTATAGATTTCATTAACACTAAAAAATAAATATAAATCATAAGGTGATATATATCTACCTTTGCTTCATCAATAGCCAATGTGTAGCAATGCTTATGAATTGATCTTTATTTACTCGACTATCATGAACATGTGAATGCATTTCAAGTGGCGTCAATGCATCATCAAAGTACATGTTCTTCAATTCATTTTTCCAAGTCCTCCACTTAGCACTCATGTTCTCAAGTGTCCACACATTTATGCATTTAAATGCCTCTCCTTCTGTAACCTCTTTTCCATCCAATGTTCTAAATTGAAACTTTTCCTAGAATTTATAAGAACAACAAATGCAGTCAGTTTATAATTATTGGTACAAAGAAGAGCCACTATTGTTGTAAGTACCTTCACTATCTCCCACATTTCTTCCTTCTTTCTAACTGGAACGTCAGGCCAAATTGTGTAAGTCAAGGGGGCGAAATCAGACATTCTAACCATGGTACCAATGAATCTACTTAGCTTTGCAGCTGCATCACCTATTGGTATATGATGAGCATTCACAACAACTATAATTTGTTCCTCTTTGTCCAAATCCCATATCTCAGCCATACGCGTGTATCCTCGAAGCTTTTTAGGCTTCGGTTGAACTAAATAAAATGAGATAAAAAACTTGGTTAAAAGAAATAATACTAAAATAGTTTGATATCAAACAAGGCAGTCATTTAGCCAATAGCAGGTTCAATATCAAGTCCTGTTTTTGGTACATAACAACATAGGGAGTAAATATGAATGAGTATTTCATGTAAACATGTACGTCCTCTTACACTGGTTCTTATAGTGTATGCTCTGATCTAGAAATTTTTCAATACTAGACTCCTGGTTTGCTATAAGTTGAAAACATACCAATGACTTCTTCCACTTCTTCAGTGACATGTTCCACATTATTTGTAGACGAAACTGATTGTTCATTATTTTGACAATGCTGTGAAGCCTCCGAATGCAATTGCGAACTTGAAGCACGTAATGCCTTTGTAGTTTTTAATCGCTTACGTGCCATTCCCAAACCCTGTGTGTTTATAAATTAGATTGTCATATTAGATTTGAGAAGCAACAAAGCAAAACTATAAATTAGATTTGAAGTACATGTGTTTACCTTATAAAGAATGCTGAAAGAAAAAAGAAGGGATCTAGCGTTTATTTAAAAAAAAATTCACTGAACCATAAAATTACTGTTATTAATATATACAAAAACAATATATTTATATTTATTTGTTAAAACATATCCTCCTCAATGTATTCATCAGCAGGATCATCTTCCAGAAGCTCATTTTCCATCTCTGGTGTAATTTCCACTCCCTCGTTTATATACTCATCTCTAACCCAAATTGAAGGATTATTTGAGTCATCACTCTCAAGGTTTGGATTGTGAGAACTATCTCTTTCATGTCTTCTTTCAACATATGATTCATCACCCATATCAAAGGCATCTCTAAGCTTTGCATGTCTAGCAAGAAGCCACCCGTCATCTCTATTATCCTCCACATAGTAAACCTTCTTTACTTGTGTAGCAAATACAAAAGGATCATCTACCAAATTTGCTCCACTATTTGTGAGGTGTGAAAAGTTGACAAGTGTAAAACCAAACTTGTCTTTTTTGCAACCTCTATTTAGATCGACCCAATCACATCTAAACAAGACAACTTTAAATTTTCCAGAATAGTTCAACTGAATGATGTCAGTTAAAGCCCCATAATAGTTAACTTCTCCTTCGATGGGTCTTGCATCTCTTGAACTTGCATAACTTGTTGTTCTTGATGACACTAAAATCCCACTATTCTGAGTTTTTAACCACTTCTCGCGTGCTTTAGTGTGGAACCGAAAGCCATTTACAACATAACCAGTGAATCTTCTAACTGTATCAAGGGGACCACGTGAAAGAAATCTAAGCTCATCCGTGACGAATGCATTTCCTTGATTTTCTAAATTCGCAACCTATAGATTTTCATAAGCAGTATAAGTTAATTAACTGAATGATTAAGAAGTTGTACATGCTGCAATTGGTAAATAAAATTTCACTTACATGATCATGAAACCAACTATGAAAAGTTTCACTATGAAGCTTTTGCAACTCATAAGCTGAAAGACGAGGGGAACGATGTCTTCTCCGAAGATGCTCTTCATGTTTTCTACAACAACAATTTCCTTAAACTTAGAAATAAGTATAAGAAACTTTCATATAGGATTAAGGTTTCAAGTTCATACCTTAACAACGGAGCTACTGCATCATGATTAAAAAGCACATATCTATGTGCTTGTGTCAAAGATAATTTGTCAAGTTCAACACGTGATACCCTCTTTCTCTTATTAACATTGAACCCCTTATGTTTTGTCCTCCCAAGTGGTCTTCCAACGTGATTAAAAATTGATACATCTCCATCAAATAAGATTTCACCTTCTTCATTCCGGCGAGATTGATTGAAACTCGTTTCAACCCCCTCCAAGTATCTTGAACAAAAAGTTAAACACTCATTTTGCTAAAAACCCTTCTGCAATAGAACCCTCTGGATGAGCTCTATTACCAACGTAAGACTTAAGGGTAAGAAGAAACCTGTTAACAACATTAAACTTAACTACGTTAACAACCATATGATATTAAATAAGACAATTAAAAGATAATAAGGATTTAGATATCACCTTTCAATGGGATACATCCAACGGTATACTACTGGGCCACCGACTTTGGCTTCATGCACTAAATGCATCACTAGATGTACCATTACCGTGAAGAATGAAGGAGGAAAGATTTTTTCCATTTCACAAAGGATTAAAGCAGCTTCAGACTCCATTACTTCAAGGGTGGCTTGTTCTAAAACTTTGGAACAAATAAATTGAAAAAAATTGCACAAGTCAATTAAGACGGAGCACACCTTCTCTGGCAAGCACCATCGTATTGCCACAAGAAGAAACTCTTGCATTAAAAGATGACAATCATAACTCTTAAGACCAATTAACTTTCGTTCTTTAACTTGCACACAACGGGAAATATTGGAAGAGTATTCATCTGGAGTTCTCATTTCCTTAAGAATTTTCAAGAAAGCATTTTTTTCAACCACATTCATTTGATAAGATGCTTGCGGTAAGTACTTTGTGTTGCCTCCGGGACGAGTCTTTGGATGAAGAATACTCCTTATACCCATGTCAACGAGATCAAGGCGTGCTTTATAATTGTCCTTTGTCTTTCTCTCTTGCCCTATTAGTGTACCAAAAATGTTATCACAAACATTTTTCTCAATATGCATAACATCGAGATTGTGGCGTAGTAGAAGATCCTTCCAGTATGGTAATGTGAATAAAATACTCTTCTTCTTCCATGGTCCACCTACATTAGCAACCAAGTCTTCTAATTGTCTTAACACTTCATCGCCAGATGGTGATAAAGGGGCCATTCTAAACTCACAATTCCCATCAAAAGAATATTTATCCTTCCTAAATCGATGATTACTTTCCAGCCATCTACGGTGTCCCATGTAGCAAAACTTTCCACCATTTTTTAGCCATTTTGATTCAGTATCATATCCACAACAAGGGCATGCATACTTTCCCTTCGTACTCCATCCAGACAAATTAGCATATGCTGGAAAGTCATTAATAGTCCAAAGCAAAGTTGCACGCATCTTAAACTTTTGCTTCATAGACACATCATATGTCTCAACACCAACTTGCCAAAGTTCACGTAATTCATCAAGTAAAGGTTGCATGAACACATCCAAATCATTCCCAGGACCTTTTGGACCAGGAATAAGTAAGGATAGTATGAAATTGGGTTGTTTCATACACATCCATGGAGGAAGATTATAAGGAATGAGTACAACGGGCCAAGTACTGTGGCTTATATTTATCAATTTGAAGGGATTAAACCCATCAGAAGCAAGTCCCAAACGAACATTACGAGCATCGGAAGCAAATTGTGGGTTAAGAGAATCAAGGTGCTTCCAAGCAAGAGAATCTGCAGGATGCCTTTGTCGACCATCTTTTGTGCGTTCCTCATCATGCCATCTCATTGAAAGAGCAGTTTTAGATGACATAAATAACCTCTGGAGTCTTGGAATTAAAGGAAACCAAAGCAATATCTTTGCAGGTTTTTTCTTCCTTTTCACAAAAGTGTCTTCACCCTCATTTACACATTCCTTCCACCTAGATGCACCACACTTGTGGCAAATTTCTTCTTTTTCCTTATCCTTCCAGTACAGAATGCAGTTATTGGGACATGCATGAATTTTTTCATACCCCAAACTCAAGCCACTAATCATCTTTTTCATTTCACGGTAGGACTCTGGCATTGTATTTCCTTCTGGAAGAGTGAGTTTTAGAATCTTTAAGAGCATAGCATACTCATGGAGTTATTTGTCCATCCATTAAAACACTTGATGTGAAATAAATGGATGACAAATGATAACTTTGAAAAGCTCTTGCAATTTGGATATAACTCCACGTCTGCATCTTTGAGTAAATTGTAGAACTTGTCACTATCAATTTTATGTCTAGACTGATCGACATCATCATTACCGGAGTGTAAGCCTTCAAAGTCTACATTCATTTCAAAGTTAGGCACCATATCATGCAACAAGTCATGAATTTCATGATTTATGTCGTCATCTATATGGGTATGTGCGGTAGAAGTAGTTTCCTCGAATACCTCACCATGAAAAACCCATCGAGTATATCCTTTAAGAAAACCATCACATATTAAGTGATCGAGTGCTGTTTCCCTAGACACTTTATAAGTGTTGACACAAATGACACAAGGACAACGAATCTTCCCATCTTCAGCGGATCTAGCAAAGGCAAAATCTAGAAATTCGTTGACCCCATTAATGTATTCCGCGCTAACTCTTGATGTTAGACCTATCCATGTTTTATCCATCTAATTCGTATAAAATAACAATGTTATTAATATAAGGTGAAGACTTCATACTAAAGGATTAAAGTGAAAGCAAATAAGAACAAGAAGGAAATTTAATTATGTTTCAAATCTATTTGAAGACTTGGAGTAAATAATATTCCTTAATAATACAAATATTGCTCAATATTCTTTATAGGATCAGTATTCTTTTTTGTTTTCCACTTAAATATTTAGAGGAATGATTGGAAAGCAGAAGAAGGAAATAGTATTTCTTCTGTCATTTTCTTTGTTCATTCCATTGTGACAAATGATGTATACACTATACAAGATAAAGTTGTGGAAAAAAATTGAAAGGGAAAAGGTTGGCGAAGAAGAACTTACTTGAGCGACCTGCAGCCATGTCCATAAAGAGGAGGCATACAATAAAGAAGACATTGCAGAGAGTTAGGGTAAGCTAAGGCTACTCAGAATGGCAGCTTTGTGATTAACACTAGGCAGAAGAAAAAGCTTAATACTAAGAAACAAATTCACGTTTGGGAAACGGAAAATGACCAAAAGCAAAAATACGAGACAGTAAAACTCGTTGGAGCAGTAGTGAATGATGTCTTCGGTTTTGATTCTGTTTTATTATATTTTTTTTACCCAACGAAACTACGTACAAAATGGCATAATTTTTATCAAAAATATAAAAGGGTAGCAGCAAGGCATTCA